TGGATTTTAAAAAAAGGGTTTCTGATTCTTAGCAATCAAGAGACTAAGATTGGAGGGTTACAACAGCAATGGGCAGCAGGGGCTAGCCAGCCAGACCATGTCTTGGCAAACAAACAAGCAGCTTTACATTGCCAGAATACTTTGTGTTTAATTACCAAGCAGGCTGAACATTTAATCCTCTTCTAAGAAAACATTTTTTTGAGTGCTAATATTGGGGCTTGAACTCAGGGCCCCTGCGTTCTCATTTAGTTTTTTCACTCAAGGTCAACCCTCTACCACTTAAGACACACTTTCTTTTCATATCTCTAACAAAATTAATTTTGTTTTTGTTTTTATGCCAGTCCGAGGGCTTGAACTCAGAGGTTGAGTATTATCCCTGAGCTTTTTCTCTCAAGGCTAATGTTCTACCACTTGAGCCACAACTCCACTTTCAGCTTTTTTGCTGGTTAACTGGAGATAAGAGTTTCACAGACTTTCTTGCTTAGCCTGCCTTTGACCATGATCCTAAGATCTCTGCCTCCTGAGTAGCCAGGATTATAGGCATGAGCCACCAGCACCCGGCTAATTCTGGTTTTTCGAAGTTTTTTTTTTTTTGGTTGGACATGGGGCTTGAACTTGGAGCCTGTGCACTATCCCTGAGCCTCTTTGTGTTCAAGGCTAGTACTCTACCATTTGGGCCACAGAGCCACTTCTGGTTTTTGAGTGGTTTTTGACCACTTCTGGTCAGTTGGAACTTTTCTGCTCAGGCTGGCTTTGAACCATGATCCTTAGCTCTTAGCCTTCTGAGTAGTTAGGATTACAGGCATGCGCCACTGGCGCCAGGCTTTATTTTTTAAAGTAAATAAATAATAATTACTAACAATTCCACAGTACAAACAACTTACTGTCATGCATCTAGAACAAAGACCATAAATTTCAAGGAAGTAAGCGAAAAAGGAAAGCTAGTCTCTAACCTACAGCTACCAAAGTGAAACCTGTTGCCTGATGCTAACATTCAGGCAGATCAAAAGGGAAAAAAAAACTAGACTAAAAAAAGTGTTCTTTTATGGTAGATGTTTTAATGTTTCTAAATGATTCGCAAATACTTTAGTGTCTTCTTAAAGTTACATTTCACAAGTGGAAAGCTGGTCGCTCACGCCTGTAATCCTAACTACTCAGGAGTCTGAGATCTGAAGCCAGCCCAGGCAGTAAATTCTATGAGACTCCAATTAATCACCAAATAAAGCTGCAAGTGGAGCTGTGTGGCTCAAGTGGTAGAACATTTGAGCACTTGCCCCAGGAACAACATGTCTGGGCACTATATTTCACATATAGTTGTCTAATTTTCCTTCTGGGTGATCATATCCTTTCCAGTATAAAAGTATTACCGAGGTCCAATACCACATACCTTTGCTTTCTGTGTTATATCCAAGTATGATAACATATCCTTTTGGACCCTAGAGTCATTAGCATTACCAGTATGAAATGTTACGTTACCAGTATGAAAAAGCTCTCCAATCATTTAAGTCTAAGTCTGAGAAACAAACTTAAATACTGTTGTATAATTTGTCTTTCTTCAGAAAAACCTATTAAACTCTATTGGCACTAGATACAAAGTAAAATTCCAAAATCTGCATTTTTAGTACTTTTGATTTCTTGACCTTTTATTTGAATTTAAGACTAAGCTTTACCAAACAACAGAATTTACACAGTAACTAGCCAACCACAGTCCTCATTATGGAATCTATGCAGTGCATTTGTTACCTAGGAAACTGACTGGAGCACAGGCAGAGTGCAATTTTAGTCTAGCAAAAGAATTCTCCAATCATGCTGGTAAATAAAGTCCATAAATCAACTAATCAGGAGTAAAGTCAAGAAGCATCACATAAGAATTAAGCTCTATGAAACTTTTTTAGAAAGAAGGAAAGAAAGAAAAAGAAAGAAAGAAAGAAAGAAAGAAAGAAAGAAAGAAAGAAAGAAAGAAAGAAAGAAAGAAAGAAAGAAAGAAAGAAAGAAAGAAAACAAACCTGTAGGGCTTCTTTTGGCAACTATGTAGATCTCTTAAGTAAATATTATGAGCCAGTTTCTTTACAAACACAACTGTCATAAAATAAAACTGTTCAAAATAAATGGCTTCTCTCCAATCTTCAGCTTCTTTATTTTTGACAGTATGTAAGAGAGAAAGCTTCTTTAGAGCCAGCCTCATACATCTGGTACCAGAATATTAATCCAAGTATGAATTCTGCATTTTCAGCAAGCAACACAGGCATGTGCTGTTCTTAAACAATGCAAGATGATAAAGGCTGCAACAAGAGGTCACTGTCCACCCTTCCCAGCCAGCCCTGCATCCCAACCAGGCCTGGAAAAACTGCATGAAACTCATAGATCTACTATAAGACTAAAGTTACTACTTTCTGCTTTCTATTTGAGTATTACAGATACTGAAACTAAACATTTGGAGGTCTCAACTAACACTAAATGTCCATTTTGTTTCCTTTAATGATATATCATGTTTGATAATTAACCAACAGGAAAATGCTAGACAACTCTATAGATTTTAAAACCTATTAAAATCAACTATAGAGAGTATAGTGTTTACAAAAAACCCTGTATTTTAAAATCTAATTTCATATAAATTCAAATTTTCTCAAAGTAGCATTTTTTATCACAATGTAAAAAGTAACAAAAAATTCAGTCATGAACAATAAAAAGAAAAAAATATATGCCTTCTTGACCATCAGCTCACTAAAAGGGGAAAATGAAAATCTGTACACTTCTCTGTAATGTTTCTTATTACACTAAAATATTACTTCCAACTGCACAAGAAAAAAACTGAAACAAAAATACAAAACCCTACTTATCAGTCAAAAACAAACAGAAAGCTAGGAACTGCCTTTAAGATCCCACAAAGACACTCCTGTGCTGACCTGAAAAGCAATTTCTTAATACAGGCAATAGTGTGTAAATGTTTAGTTTACATAGTGACTCTTTGTTAAATCTTATCATCACCACTGACAGACTGGCAAATGCATAAACAAGCAATTCAATTTGTTAGCTTATCTTTTTTAGTACTTCGACCAGCTAGATGGAATTCTGAGTGGTCTTGAATTCTTTTTTCCAAGCTAAGGCCAAACTTAATTTCATTATTTTTCCTCTTTGGAGTCTTAATAATGGAAAGGGGAGGAGAGCATAGGACAAGAGCCACACACTACTGAAGCCACACACTAAGCTCTGAGCCTTTGCACAGACTTTAAATTTATTTACCTACACTGAAAGTCAAGAAGGGAACTAATAAAATATGACCAGCTTAAAAGGCAGTTATCTACCATTTTTACACGAAGTCTATTCTGGTTTTCAAGTAAAATGTGCACAAATGTGTTGTCCGGGTATTTTTAAAAGTAGGCATAATATTAATGTACTAATGAACTGAAGAAAGAATCTACAACATAATTTTTTCCTAGAAAATAATCACTATTTTAAGTATATTAAACATCTTTCTGCACTGACAAAAATTTAGTTTGCCTAAATACATTAAATTATGTATATTTCTGATGAATTTCTATGTCTGATAGAAATAACACGAATATTTTTCCACCAAGAAAACACTTGAAAAATGAAAACCTCCACTTTCTCCAAATGACTGTACCTTTAATTGTCTTGGGGCTTCTCAAAGCTGCTTAAAAAAAGAAAAAAGAAAAAGAAAATCTCTCTGGTAAATGTCAGGTTTATATTTATTAATAAATTCTTGGAGTAGGCATGACTACTTTTGAGAAGTGAGCAGGCCGAGATTAACACAAAATTATAACCTCAGACCTACATAAAAACTCTGAAGCTGTAAAATTGGTTTTTAAGATGGTTTATTGTTTGAATGCAATTGTTCATTTAAAAAAAGTTAGTATGATAAATCAAAAATATCATCCCACAGTAATTTTCAAAACAAAAATTCCAACATACACAACAACCCAATTTTGGGGTCATATGCATAGAATACATAAAAGGCACATAGAAAAAAAAAACCAGAAAAGCATAATCATGGGGGTGATGGGATAGTCAATTCGAACATTCATGTTCTTTTCATACATAATGAAAGACTTCCTATCTTAAACCAGCAAAAGAAAGGTTCTAGCCTGAATGGAAAGCTACCCTCCCTCATGAAAGCAACCCCTTGGGGACTCACAGGTTAGCAGTTGACTTCCCGGGGAGAACATTCTTTTTCAATGCTAATCCTAAAACCCCGTAGTCTGGGTGAGTTGGGGGGAGAAATCAAAACTTTACTCCACACCTTCCAAACAAATATATTCATTACTGTAAACACACGCACACACACAGCCGTGTTATCTTCACCCTTTACATCCCTATCTAACCTTTAAAATAACAGTAATTTTTTTCAAAAGCCTAGCAACTAGGAAAGAAAAAAAACCAAACAAACACAAAACACACCGAGATTCTGGCCAGCCCCACCTCCTTCCGCGCGGCACACTACGTTTGTTGATGTATTTGATAACAAACACAAATCACTGTGCGCAGCCTCAGATGGGGGCGGAGTGGGGGGCGCCCAGCGCCTCCGGGAGAAAGCCCTCCTCCGCTAGAAACAATAAATAGGGGAGCCCAGCGGCGCACGTTCCTGCACACACGCCCCACCACGCGCCTCGGGGAGCCTCCCGCGGAGAGGAGCGAGTCGTGCACGGCCCCAGAACCACCTCAGACTTGCAAACTAACAGGCACGTCTTGTCTTCCCCCTTTCCACCTCCGACAGACCCCGGCCGCGGACCCCGAACCCCCCCCCACTCCGCCCGCCGCGCGCCGGGGTCTCCGCCCCCCCATACGCGCCCTCCCCATCCCCTCCGCCGACGTCCGGCCGCGCGGGTCCCCGGCCCTCACTCCCGCCGCGCTCCCCTGAGGAGAAACAAAAGGAGGGTTCGGCGGGTCACGGCGCGACCGCCCCCACACAAAGAGGCGTCCCCGCCCGGGCCGCCGCGTCTGCGCGCTCGTCCCCGCCCCGCGCGCGGGCTCTCACCCACCTGCAGGTGTCTGTGCGTCTGTCCATAGGAACGCGAGCGGCGGGGCGGCCTGTGGGAGCCCGGCTGCCGGGGGCTGGACGGGGCGGGACGCAGGGAGGGAGGAGGACGGGCGGACGGCGAGCGGCCAGAGGGCCGGGCACCGAAGGCAAGTGGAGCTGGGAAGGCGGCGCGGCCCGGCGGACGGCGGCGGGGGAGCCAACCGGGCTCGGCCACCGCGCGCGCCGCTCCGTGCGCCCGGAGCTGGGCGCGCTCGGCTTGGAAGCGCGCTGGGCGGGCGGTGGGGGGCGGGGCGCGGGTGGGGGCGGGGCCGGGCGCAGGGCGGGGGCTCGGACCCGGGGCTCCAGCCCGCACCGGAAACGCGCCGTGGTCTGTGAGACCCACAGGAAGTGTGTAACGACACCTCCTACCGCACACGCACGGGGCTCGCGGGCGGCCCTCGTGCCGCGCACACGCAGCGGTCGCCACGCTGGGCCGTGGAGGCGTGGGACCCCGACAGGTTCCTGCTGTATCCCCCCCCCCCCAGCCCCTGCCCGCCGCTTCCGAGCCCCACACACCTCCACCCACACCCAGAGAGCAGGCTACACGCTCCTCTCGGGAGCGAGGTGACACCTGTTATAACACACCGAGCTGAGTCCCCTCCGCAGCCAGGGAGGTGACTGAACACCAACATACTCCAACACACTCCGTGCACCCCACAGAAACCGCCGCCCGGTGGAGGTGCCTAACGTCCAGCTGCAGCAACACCCACCCACCCCTGCTTAAGTCAGCCCAAAGCTGGCTCAGACGAGTGGTCCTGCACGCCAGGGACACAAGAACACCCTTGGGACATCCTGTGCGACATGGCACAACAGAGGTGAGGCTGCACCTTTAACAAACACTTATTTTTATTTTCATGTTGGTGCTGGGGCTTGAACTCTGGGCCAGGGCGCTGTCCTTTTAGCTCAAGGTTAGCACTCTACCTCTTCTGGCTTCTTGCTGGTTTACTGATGATAGTCTCACTGAGTCAGATAAATATGAGTGTGTGTATACGTATATTGTGTATAGTTCATGCATGTACATATGTAATAAATACATATAAGTACATATATACCAATATATAATATACATAGAGCGCCATGCCTCCAGCCCCTTTTTGCATTGATTATTTTCCAAGTAGAGTTTGGTTTTATGCCCAGGAGGGGAGTAACAATGAGAAACACACCCTTGCATCTAGTCATGGTACTTTCCTAATAGCCATTGAGTGAGACAGAGTCAAACTTTTTTTTTTGGTTCGGTCATGGGGCTTGAACTCTGGGCCTGGGCACTGTCTCTCAGCTCTTCAGCTCAAGACGAGTGCTCTACCACTTGAACCATAGCACCACTTCCTGTTTTCTAGTGGTTTATTGCAGTCTCATGGACTTTCCTACCCGGGCTGGCTTTGAACGGTGATCCCCATATCTCAGCCTCCTGAGTACCTAGGATTACAGGCGTGAGCCACCGGCACCCAGCTGGAATCAAGCTTTTTGACAGCATTAGTCTCAAAGCACCATCTGATTTTTGCCTCCCGAGTAGCTAGGATTATTGGCTTGAGCCACTGTGCCCAGCTCAGGATGATATTCTTAACGTTTTCTGGTGTTAACACTCCCCTTTGTCTAGGCCCAATGTTTAAAAATTTGCATAAATATTTTTCACAAACTGATGTCTATACAAAATAACACCACTCTACACACAGTTCATTGCTACACATTCCAAAGGTGTAATTCTGTGAAGAAACTGGCACCTTTGTGCACTGCTGGTGGGACTATAAGGAATAATCGCCATGTAAAACAGTATGGAGGGGGGGTTACAATTACATGGGAAAGATAATGAGTACATTTCTTATCACGCATTGTAGCCTCCTCCTGTTTCCCCTTCCCATCCCTTCCCATCCTCCCCCCCTCACACCTAATCCTCCCTGCTACCCCCCTCCTCCGCTCCCAAGTTGTAAAGTTCATTTTTCGACATAGACATAACAATTTGTACATCTCAACAGTATGGAGGGTCCTCAAAAAAAAACTAGAAGTGTAATAATCATATGAACCATGCTCCAGCAGACTTACTTCTGAGTATGTATCCAAAAGACTTGAAGGCAGGGTCTTAAAGATAAGTCAGTGTATGCACAATATGTAAAGAGGTGAAAGCAATCTAAGTGTCAGTTGACAGATAAATGGATAAAATGTTACATATACTTACAATGGACTATTCAGCCTTAAAAAAAAATTCTGGGTGTAATCTGTAATCTTAATTGCTTTGGAGGTTGAGATCTAAGAATCAAGGTTTGAAGCCAGACTGGGCAGAAAGGTCTTTGAGACTTATCTCCAAAAAGCTAGAAGTGGAAATGTGGCTCAAGCAGTAGAGTGCCAGCCTCGAGGAAAAGCCAAGCAAGAGTTTAAAGCCTTGAGTTTAAGAGCAAATACTGACACACAGCACACACAAAAAAGTAATGTCAAATGCTGCAACTTCCTTGAATTTGGGGGACATTATTCTAAATAAGTCAGTGGCAAAAAGACGAATACTGGATGATCCCACTTACCTGAGGTACCTACATGTTCAAAATAATGGAAACACAAAGTAGAATAGTGGTAACAAGGAGGGGGTGGAAGATGGAATATGTTTCACTTTTTGCAAAACGAAAAAGTTCTAGAGATCTAAATTGAAATATAGAGATCTAAGTTTAAGTATATACACTATTTTTTTGTTTTTACCACATTAACTTTAAAAGTATATGCATATATATATGCGTGTACATATATGCATTCTTGTGGCAATTTAGGGGTATAGTGTTAAGCAAATTAACTCTCTCACTGAGAATTATAAAAGCTGCTTATAACTATTAGAGAACAATCTAGTCAACCAATCCTTGAGAGTTCAACAGTAAGGAAGAAGGAAATATCTTGAAGTGAATAGTACATTCCTAGCCACTTTTTCTTGTTGAGAGCATTGCCAATTTGTGAGTATAGAAGCCACAGAGAGAGTAGCTTTTGGAGTTTGGGACAGTCTCATTGGGCTGAAGACATAAAATTTATATGTCACTCTGTTAAGACACTTAAGCCTTTGTCAGGCCAAGGTCCTAGACGATGTGATTATAGTAATGATACACACACCTGTAATCCAAGCTAGATGGAACACACAGGTTGTGTGTGGAGGCTGGTTGGAGGCTGGTCCAGGACAAAAGCAAAAGCGCAAGACCATAAAAAAAAAAAAAAGAAGGATGGAAACATGTTAAAATATTTGCCTAACAAGCTGCAAAAGGCCCTGAGCTCAAACATCAGTGCCACCAAAATAAAGTATCACTTTGCCATTCTCCTCCAAAGCACTTGTGGATTCCTAATCTTAAAAAAAAAAAAAAAAAGCACAAAAAGCCATGAAGTGAAGCAGAAAGCAAACTGCTAAGAGGAAAAAATAAGTGGAAATCTTTGTCTCATGGTGTTGTAGAAATTAAATAGGAAGGAAGGGCCCTTGTAAACATCAGTTTCAGTTGTAACTCTTAACAACTATATATACTGGAAACAAAAGCAAATCTGAAATAGTCCGACCAGTACCTAAATAGCCTTGTACTACCTTAGTCTCTGGTTGGATCAAGATGAACTTCAAATACTGTTTTCCTGCCATAAAAAAAAAGCTCTTGGGCTGAGAAGTTGGCTCAGTGGTAAAGCTCTCGCCTTGCATGCTTGAGACCCTGGGTTCGATTCCTCAGCACCACATAAGCAGAAAAAAAAAAGCCGGAAGTGGCACTGTGGTTCAAGTAGTAGAGTGCTAGCTAGCCTTGAGCTGAAGAGCTGAGGGACAGCACCCAGGCCAAGAGTTCAGGCCCCAGGACCGGACCCAGAAAAAAAAAAAAAAGCTCTTTAGTGGACCTTAGTAGAAGTGCTTTATAATTTTTCATAAATAATATCTGGTACTCCACCAAATATTACCAAACATGCCAAGAAAAAAACAAGCTTAATAAAAACCAGGACAAAAAAAGACAATGGAATCATGGGTACAAATGTTCCAGATATCCTAGTTATTAGCTAGAACCTTTAGAATACCTATAATATGTTCAAAACACAAGTAACAGAATGGACAATTTCACTAGAGAATTAGGATTTCATAAGAATCAAATAGAGCTATCAAGGAAATTAGATCAAAATTACAGCAGAATACCACTACACATCCACCATGATGTTTATAAAAAAGACAGTACTAAGCCTTTGTGATAGAAAATCAACTCTTGTTCAGTTCTTAGTGGGACAGTAAGATGGTGCAGGTATTTTAGAAAGTAGGCAAGTCTTCAAAAGGCTAAACACAAAATTACCACAATCCAGCAGCTCTCCCCATAGGCATATATAATCAAGAGAAATGACCATATATGGCAGCACAAAGTCTTGTACATGAATATTCACATCAGTACTGTTCATACTAGCTATAAAATAGGAAGATCCCTTTGGATTTTAAGACAACAAAATCTAAGTTGACAAAAAAAAATTGATTTAAGAAAAAAAAAAAAAAAGGTTTTCTTAAAACAGTCTCATCAAGTGGTAGAACACCAGCGTTGAATGAAAAATCTAGGAGATAGCACCAAGACCCTGAGATCAAAGCCTCAGGACTAGCACTAAAAACTAAAACTATAGAAAGAAAACATTTATAAACAGGGAATTTTTTTTTATAGGTTTCAATTTGGGGATATGTGGAGTCCTTGGGATGAGGAATAAAGTGTTTTTTGTGTTTGTTTTTGCTCTTCTTGGGGCTTGAACTCTGGGCCTGTGCGCTATCTTTGGGCTTCTTTTGCTCAAGGCTAGCACTCTACCACTTGAGCCACAGTACCACTTCTAGCTTCTTCTGGGACTAATTGGAGATAAGAGTCTCACAGACTTTCCTGCCTGGGTTGGCTTCCAACCTCAATCCTCAGATCTCTGAATAGCTAGGATTACAGGCATGAGCCACCCATGCCAGGCAAGAAAGTCAGTTTTAACTAAGCCCAAGGTGACAAGGTACAATGGGCTTTAAACAGCTAAGTCAGGCCAAAAAAACTGATGTGGAAGCAGCAAGTATATCATATAAATTGACAATGACACAATGCTACAATATGGATGAACTCTGAAAACATTAAGGAATTGAAAAGCCAGTCATGATGGTTATATTAACACCCAGGATAGGCAAATCAACAGCAAGAGAAAGTTTACTGGGGTTGCCTATAGCTAAG